GGGAGAGGGAGTGGGAAAGGGGAGGGTTGTGGGTGGGAGGGACGGTATGTGGGGGAAGCCATTGTAATGCATAAATCGTACTTTGGAAATTTATATTCATTAAATAAAAGTTAAAAAAAATTTAAGAAATTGGAAGTCAACAAAGATAGCCCCTGAGGTCAGTTTCTGCCTTGTATCTAGCTTTGCCTATTCTGCAGTTACAATTGGAATGGGTTCCAGGAAAACATGACAACTAGATTTTGAATGGCTTAGTCTCTAGTTTCATATTCTCTTCTTCATAGTTTCTTTTGTTCCCTGTGGGTCTCATCCAAACTTGAAATTAAATGCTGTCTATATGCTAATGATTCCCCAATTTTTGCATCCAGCCCTGACCTCAACACTGTTCCACATATTTAGTATGCATCCAAAATACATGGATTCATGTATTCAACAACCTATTTGATATTCTTATTCCATTTGTTACCCAGAATTTTTCTAATATTGCAACACTTAGTATGATATGAGGATATTTCAAAAAGTTTGTGGGAGATCTGTATTATGAAGAACCCATGACTGGGACAGTGCCTTGGCATTGTGGGTTAAGTCACTGCCTGCAGCTCCAGCATCCATAAAGGTGCCGGTTCAAGTCCCAACTGTTCCACTTCCAATCCAGCTCTCTGCTAATGTGCCTAGGAAAGCAGCAGAAGACGGCCCAAGTGCTTGGGTCCCTGCACCCAAGTGGGAGACCCCAGATGAAGCTCCTGGATCCTAGCTTTTGCCGGGCCCAGCCCTGGCTGTTGTAGCCATTTTGGGAGTTACCTAGCATATGGAAGATTCTCCTCCACCCCCATTATCCCTCTCTCTCCAATAACCAATAATTTTGCACAAACTTCTTGAAGTACCATCATATCTATTGATCTGAAATAGAAAGTACTTTTCGAGCAGCAGACTACTATGGGAGTTCAAGTGTTATACTTAAACATGTAAAAGCTCAGTTTTAGCATGTCCTAAAATGGAGCTCATGCTGTCCAAATCTGCTCCTCCCTAATTTCCTCCATTTGAGTAAATGAATCCTCTGTTCTTTCACTTCTCAGGTCAAATATCTGGGCTGACTGTGACTCTTCTCTTAACTCTCCTTTAGTCACTATGTATTTTTTAAATTGTAGTTACGAACTACACTGAATCTGTTAGGAACTAGTTAAAAATTTAAAATAATAAATTCAAAAAAAATTTATGTGGACAATGATCCAAATAAATCAACACTTTACAATTTAATAACTTTCAATTTAATAAGCTTTCAATGGACATTTTAAACAAGCAGGATCAAGCTCCTAAAACATTTCTTTAAAAAATTGGAACAGAGGACAAAGATGACTTAACCATTTCTATCATGAAGACAAGGCAAAATCAAAATAATTGTTATGAAGAGGTGGAAAAATAGGCCAATCAAGAGCAAAGGTCATGATAACAATTGGGGGGGGGGGATGCTCAAGGTATTATTTTGCTTATTAACTTTCTGATGAGCCAAAGAATGATAACATCTGCTTATTAGGAGCATGTTTTTGGGAAAGTTAGCCAACGCTGTAGCAGAAAATTACTTGGGAAAGCTTCAACACAGCCCTCACTATGACAACGGTCCTTCTCATTCTTGTCATCAAAAAAAAAAAAATGCTATTATATTAGAATGTCCAGGGGAAATCATTAGGCATACATCTTACAAACCAGACTTCGCTCTTTCTGACTTCCTTTTGCTTTCTAGTCTTAAAAAAATCTTCAAATGCTTAGCAATTGTCTTCAGCTAATAAGATAAAAAAGACTGCATTGACAAGGTTAAATTTCTAAGACTCTCAATATTTTGGATGGGCTAAACGCTTGAATCATCACTTATAAAATTGTCATGAACGTGATGGAGTTCATGCTGGGAAACAAAGTCCATATATTTATTTTTATTTTTAAATTCCATTTTTCAGAAGAATGCACATTTTTCAGAAGATACACATTTTTCTCAAGTTCACATGAAGTATTCTAAAGGACAGATTATACGTCAGGTGACAAAGCAAGTTATAATAAATCTGAGGTGATTGAAATCATATAGTGTCTGTTCCAAATATAATGTAATAAAACTAGAAATCAATAACAGAAAAAAAACTGGAAAATCCACAAATACATGGCGATTTAAAACACTTTTTTGAGAAAGCAATAGGTCAAAGAAATAAAAGTGAAATTAGAAAATATGTCAAGACAAATAAAAGTGAATCCTTGGATATAACACCAAAATCAAAAGCAGATAAATGGACTCATCCAACCAAAAGGCTTCTAAATAGAAAATAAAACAACCAAGAGAGTGAAAAGGCAACCATTGGAGTGGGAGGAAATAACTAAAGTGTTAGAAAAAGGTATAGCACTCAATTGGAAATGAAAAACAAGCCAGAGAACTATACTCAGATAAAACAGATTTTTAAATGAAAGCTGTAAAAAGAAACAAAGAAGGGCATTATATATTGATAAAAGGATCAATTCAGTGAGAAGACATTGTAATCAAAAGTATATGCACCCAAAATAAGACCATCCAAATATACAAAGCAAATATTATTAGACCTAAAGGAGGAGATAGACCCCAATGTAGTAATAGTAGTAATTTCAATACTTTATCATCATTAATAGACAAATCATTCAGATAGAAAACAAAGATACATCCAAGTTGAAAAACACTATATGGAAAATGAAATATTCTCATGGGCATTTCAGCCGGATCCACATGCCTTAAGGGCTGATTATGAGACCAGAGTGTTGTTAGGACATTTGCCATTCTATGGGTCTGCTGTGTATCTCGCTTCCCATGTTGGATCATTCTCTCCCTTTTTGATTCTATCAGCTAGTATTTGCAGACACTATTCTTGTTTATGTGATCCCTTTGGTTCTTAGTCCTATCATTATGATCAATTGTGAACAGAAATTGATCACTGGGACTAGTGAGATGGCATTGGTACATGCCACCTCGATGGGATTGAATTGGAATCCCCTGGTATGTTTCTAACTCTACTGTTTGAGGTAAGTCAGCTTGAGCATGTCCCGAATTGCACATCTCTTCCCTCTCTTATTCCCACTCTTATATTTAACAGCGATCACTTTTCAGTTAAGTTTCAGCACTTAAGAAGAATTGTGTATTGATTACAGTATTCAACCAAAAGTATTAAGTAGAACAAACAAACAAAAATACTAAGAGGGATAACATATTAAGCTGCTCATCAACAGTCAGGGTGAGGGCTGATCAAGTCACCGTTTCTCATAGTGTTCATTTCACTTTAACAGGTTTCCTTTTTGGTGCTCAGTTAGTTGTCACCTATCAAGGAGGACAAGTGGTATTTGTCCCTTTGGGATTGGCTTATTTCACTCAACATAATGTTTTCCAAATTCCTAACAGGGATCACTTTTCAGTTAAAATTTAAACACCTAAGAATAATTGTGTGTTAATTACAGAGTTCAACCATTGTTACTGGAACAACAACAACAAAAAAATACTAAAATGGATAAAGTATTACATTGTACATCAACCGTCAGGACAAGAGCTGATCAAGTCACTGTTTCTCATAGTGTCCATTTCACTTCAACAAGTTTCCCCTTTGGTGCTCAGTTAGTTGTCGCCAATCAGGGAGAACATATGATATTTGTCCCTTTGGGACTGGCTTAATTCACTCAGCATGAGTGAATTAAGTATTTCAGGCATGGAAAGCCAAGACACTCTGGGGAAAAAAAAAAAACTAAATGAAAGATCTCCACGAGTGAGATCCCAGTGGAAAGAACGGGTCATCAAAGAAGGAGGTACCTTTCTCTGAAGGGAGGAGAGAACTTCCACTTTGACCATGGCCTTGTCTAAATATGATCAGAGTCAGTGAACTCAGGGGGCTTCCATAGCCTTGGCAACTCATGACAAGAGCCTAGGGTGATTACTGATGCCATAAACAAGAGTGTCAATTTGTTAAGTCAACAACAGGAGTCACTGTGCACTTACTCCTCATGTAGGATCTTTGTCCTTAGTGTGCTGTATGTACATTGAGATTTAATGCTATAACTAGTACTCAAACAGTATTTTTCACTTTATGTTTCTGTGTGGGAGCAAACTGTTGAAATCTTTACTTAATGTATGCTAAACTGATCTTCTGTATATAAAGAGAATCGAAAATGAATCTTGATGTGAATGGAAGGGGAGAGGGAGTGGATAAGGGGAGGGTTGCGGGTTGGAGGGACGTTATGGGGGGGGAAGCCATTGTAATCCATATTCTGTACTTTGGAAATTTATATTCATTAAATAAAAGTTAAAAAAAATCGAAGAAACCAAAAAAAAAAAACCACTATATGGAAAATGGACCTAACAGACACTTACAGTACATTCATCCAACACCTACAGAATACATATTCTGCTCATAAGCACATGGAACATTTTCTAGCATAAACCATATAAAAGATCACAAATCGAGTAATAATACATTTTAAGAGTTGAAATCATAACATATATCTTATCATACCACAAAGATTAAAACTGGAAACTAAAAATAAGAATAATAGAAAATTGAAAAATACATAGAAACAACAATATGTTCCTGTATGATGAATAATAGATCATTGAAGAAATCAAAAAGGAAACAAAAAACTTCTTGAAACAAATGAAAATAAAAATGCAATCTATCGAAATCTGTCAGATACAGGAAAAGCAGTATTAAGAGGGAAGTTAATAAAATAATATGTACACTTAAAAAACAGAAATATTTCAAACAAACCAATAATGTATCTCAATGAATCAGAAAAGCAAAAACAAACCAAACACAAAATTAGCAGGAGGCAAGAAATAATAAGGATCATAACAGTATTAAATGAAATAGAAACTAATCTATTTTTAATATCAATAAAACAATATACTTGTTTTGGAAACATAAACAAAATAAACAAACCTTTAGCCAAACTAACAAAGAAAAGAAGGGGGAAAAACTCAAATTTTAAAAATTAGAGAGAAATAAAAAACTGTGTTCACTTCAGCAGCACATATACTAAAATTGGAATGATACAGAGAAGATTGGCATGGCCCCCGCTCCAAGATGACATACAAATTCATCAAGCATTCCATATTTCTTTTAAATGAACTAGTTAATATACTTGAACAGTGACACTGCATTAAAATTACCAAATTTGGGCATAGTTCCAAGATGGAGTAGGGAGGGAGCTTACTGCTCTAGTTCAGGAGAATAGTTTAAAAAAAGTGGAAAGAGTGCAGTCTCAGGGAAGAGTTAGGGAGAAAATGGCAGAGGAAACTCTACACAAATTAGAGGGACATGGTGGACCTGCGTGAAGGGCATGGATGCCCATAATTCAGGATCCCAGCAGCTGAGAGCCTATGCACCAGTGTTGGAGAGTGAGGTGAGACCAGACCACAGCAGTCCAAGACACTGGTGTTAAAGCAGCAGGAAGAGCCTAGAGGGAACCCGGCTTGGAGCCCCACAGGGGATAGCGTACCTGCCAAACTAGAGGAGAAATAAAAAAGGAGGGAAATGTTTCTCTCTCCCCAATCACTTTACAACAGCATCCTGTAACAAGCCAATAGAGCAGGCTTCATTTTGGACATACATAATAGCTATGCCAGCTCATGGCAATGCCTAGGAATCAGCCAAGTGGAGACACATAACTCTGTTGGAGAGAACCAAAAAAGGCTGGGAGCTCCTGACTGTGGGAGGATTCTGCGCCAGGACTGTGAAAAGAACAGGTTGTGTGAGAGGACTCATGGTGTGGCTGGGAATATGGGAAGTCACTGTGGGAGACTCCAGACACTCAGGGCTTCCTGGTTACCTGATGAGGGACATCGCCGGGGAATCTGAACTTACGCTGAGAACTGCACAGATACTTTGTGTGATCCTTGAGGTATGGTGTACAAATATTATACCCACTGGGGCTAGTGTAAGGCACTGGTATCTTTTGAGGAGAGGAGCTCAGCTGAGCAGAATAAACTTGCCTTCTGATTAAAAAACAATAGAGAGAGAGGAGATTTACTATGCCAAACCTGGGTGTCACTTTAGACATGCCCTTCACCCTGGAGAACTGAAAAGAGCTCCCTGGCCATAGCCATTACAAGCCTCAATTTATTCACTGATAGCAGACACTCCACTTATCTACAGAAGCATAGTACAAAAGACAAAAGCTACCATAGCAAAAACCAAAGAAGAAACCAAGTATCTCCAAAAATGCTGAACAACAAATGCACCAATTCAAGAAACAAGAACAAAGAAGAAAACATGATGATCCCAAAAGAACGCAATACTTCAATATGATATTGTGAAGATGATGAAATGGAAGAAATGCAATAACTGGAATTCAAAAAAATGATCATAAGATTACATAGAAGTAATCAGAAGCAAATGCATGAACTATTGAAATCCATACAGGACATGCAAGATTTCTCCCATGAAATTGAGATCTTAAAGAGAAATCAAAATGGAATGAATAATTCAATAGAACAAATAAAAAATGCAGTGGAAAGCCTTAGCAACAAAATCGATGAAGCAGAAGAAAGAATATCAGACTTAGAAGACAAAGCACAGGAAATTATATAGTTAAATCAAAAACAAGAAGAGGAAATTAGAAAACTAAAAAACACTGTTGGGAATGTACAGGATACTGTAAAACGACCTAACATACAGATTCTAGGAGTTCCTGAAGGCATGAGAAGAGAGAAAGGATTAGAAGGCCTTTTTAGTGAAATAATAATAGGAAACTTCTCTAATTTGGAGAAAGAAAGGGACATCTAAGTTACAGGAAGCACATAGATGTGACCAAAAAGATCTTCACCATGACACATTATAATTAAACTCAACACAGTAAAACATAAAGAAAATATTCTAAAATGTGCATGAGAGAAACACCAGATTACTTTCAGAGGATCTCCAATCAGACTCACAGCCTGCTTCTCATTAGAAACCGTACAGACCAGGAGAGAATGGCAAGATATATTCCAAGTCTTGAGAGAGAAAAAAAAAAAAAACTGAAAGAATTTGTCACCACCCACCCAGCCCTACAAAAGATGCTTAAGGATGTGCTACACAAAGAAACACAGAAACATGGTTATCACTACAAAACAAGGTAAAGGAAGAAAATCAGTAAAAGTTCAAAGGGAATTCAAAGTAAACAATAGGAATATCTATGGAAAAATGGCAGGGCTAAGACAATACTTATCAATAGTCACCTTGAAGGTAAATGGACTCAACTCTCCAGTTGAAAGACACAGACTTGCAGAATGCATTGAAAAACAAAACCTGTCTATTTGCTGCTTGCAAGAGACACATCTTTCCAACAAAGATGCACACAGACTGAAAGTGAAAGGATAGAAAAAGATATTCCATGCCAACAGAAACAAAAAAAAAAAAACAGCTAGTGTAACCATCCTAATATCAGATAAAATAGACTTTAACACAAAAACTCTTAAAAGAGACAAAGAAGGGCACTATATAATGATTAAGGGACCAATTCAACAGGAAGATGTAAGTAGTTTAAATACATATGCACCTAATTACAGGGTGCCTGGCTATTTAAAAGAAATGTTAAGGGAACTAAAGGGAAAAATGGACTCCAACTAATAGTAAGGGAAGGATATAATTTGCCAAATCTTTTTCATGCAGCTAGCATTACTGTAATACAAATATCAAAACAAGACATAACACAAAAATAAAATTACAGACCAATATCTTTGTTGAACATAGATGCAAGAAAATTTAACAAAATATTAGCAAATCAAATCTGACATTACATATAACAGATCATATAGTACCACCAAGTAAAACTTACCCCAGAGATACAAGCTTGGTTCAATGTTTTCAAGCAAATAAATATAATAAATCACATCAACAGAATGAAGCACAGGAATCATAAGTTCATCTCAATAAACGCAAACATCACTTCATGACAGAGGAAAAAAGCTCCATAAATTAGGTATAGAAGGAACATAACTCAAAATTATAAGTTATATATGACAAACCAACAGCCAATATAGTGAATGAAAAAGCTGAAAGAAGTTCCCCTTGTTCTGGAACAGGACAAAAGTGTCTACATTCATCACATTACTCAATATAGCACTGGAAATGTTTGCAAGAGTAATTAGGGTAAATAACAAATTACATCAGTTATATCAGAATTGATCAGAATATTAGTTATATCAGAATATATCAGAAGTTATATCAGAATTGCAATGGAGGAAGTCAAGATATCCATGTTTGAAGATGACATATTTTGCACGTGGAAAAACACTACACCAAAATGCTGTTAGAGGTGATAAACCAATTAAGTAAATTTGCAGGATATAAAATCAACATACAAATACAGTAGTGTTTATATATACAAATAATGATCTTGCTGAAAGTAAAATTAAGAAAAAATCTCATTCAGAATAGCTACAAAAAATTAAATCTTTAGGAATAGATTTAACCAATGCAGTCAAATGTCTACAGTTAAAACTATAAAATATTTTTGGACAATAAAAAAGTATAAAACATTGATGAAAGAAATCATCAAGGACACAAAAAATAGAGATAGTCCCTGTTCATGGGTTGAAAGAACTAATATCAATTAAATTTCCATATTACCTAAAACAGCCTACAGATTCAATGCAATTTTATCAAAAAAGCAATAACATTCTTTACAAATTAAAATTCATGTGGAACCACAAAAGACTCAGAATAGCCAAGGCAATCATGAGCTAATAATAATAATAATAATACTGGATGTATCACAATCAGTGTCTGATTTTAAAACATTCTAAAAAGCTATAGACATTAAAACAGTACTGTACTGGCATAAAAACCAACACAGATAGTAATGGAGCAGAATAGAGTATGCAGAAATTGAACCACATACATACAGTCAACTGATTTTTACAAAAGTACCTAGACCATATTTTGGAATAAGGATAATCTCTTCAATGAATGGTGCTGGCAGAAATGTATGCTTTGCAGAAATATGACTGAACATAGAGGACATTATGTTAAGTGAAATAAACCAGACACAGAAAGAAAACTACTTCACGGTATCTTATGTGGACTCTAAAATACGTGGCATAGTATAACAGTGGTTGGGAAGAAGGAATGGAGATATATAGGTGAAAGGATACAAGTTGCAATTATGAAGGATAATTAAGTCTAGAGTTCTAATGAATAGAGTGATGACATAGGTATTAATATTGTCTTGTCCACAGTAAATTTGCTGAGAGTAGATTTTAACAGTAGCAGGAATAACATGCTCTTACCACAAAGTACCTTAAATGTGAAGATGTATTGTGTTAATTTACCTGACTGTAGCAATCATTTCCCTAAGGAGATATGTGTATCAAATCATATTGTATACCTTATATACAATAAAAATGAATCTTGAAAAAAGAAAATTATAAACACTAATTTGTTGCCCAAAGCAACTCATTTTTTTAAATTTTTTTGACAGGCAAAGTGGGCAGTGAAAGAGAGAGACAGAGAGAAAGGTCTCCCTTTGCCGTTGGTTTACCCTCCAATGGCCACTGCGGCCGGTGCGCTGCGGCCGGCGCACCGCGCTGATCTGATGGCAGGAGCCAGGTACTTATCCTGGTCTCCCATGGGGTGCAGGGCCCAAGTACTTACTTGGGCCATCTTCCACTGCACTCCCTGGCCACAGCAGAGAGCTGGCCTGGAAGAGGGGCAACCGGGACAGAATCCGGTGCCCCGACCGGGACTAGAACCCGGTGTGCCGGTGCCGCAAGGCGGAGGATTAGCCTAGTGAGCCGCGGCGCCGGCCCATAACAACTCATTATTAACACTTATCCATAACAACTAATTGGTATATAATACTTGGGAATTAAGTTACATTCCACAGAAGATAACTAAATTTTAGGAGTCTGCATACTTTCAAAATACATTTCTAGAAATCCTTGCAAAGATGCTTGCAATTGGTTAAAAAAGCAAAGGAATTTATTTTTGCAATAAAATGGTTTTATGGAGGCCAGCACAGTGCTGCAGTAGGTTAATCCTCAGCCTGTACTACCAGCATCCCATATGGGCACCAGTTCTAGTCCCAGCTGCTCCTATTCTGATCTGGATCTCTGCTGTGGCTTGGGAAAGAAGTGGA